TCGTCTACGGGCACTCACACTTTTGGCGGGAAAATTTCTGATTGAACAGCTGGATCATTTCAAAAGTGACCGCTAAACAGAAATTTGCTTCAGTTTATGCAAAATTTATGATGCTTTACGGTACTGAGCGCGCAAGGCAAGCGTGAAGAAACAACCATTCATGCAGCTGACCTAATTGCTTTAAGTCTGATGCAAAAACGCATGATCGCACTGGTCCGCCTTGTGTGTTCCAGCCAAGATACTTCTTTTATCTCAAGTTATATTTGTCCCTCACTTTCATGTACCACTCCGTTAAGTATGGTTGGCCTAAGAGGATGTGCCGTGCTCTGCAGAAATGAAATCAAATTTCACAAACATCATCATCATTATCACTGGTCGATAGTAAAAGAAATGAACTGTTCTGCTGATAATGGGGATCTGACAAACAACGGCTGCCACTCATTGATAAGAGAATTCTTCACTATGCAACCGAGCACTCACACATTTTTTTTTCTGCATTTTTGCAACAGCGATGAAAAGACCAGTGAAATTTCTTCTACGATCTTGGGGCAGTAGTAAAACGCCACATTCAAAACTACACCCTAGCCTGCCTGCGACTTTAAAGATTCCCAGTCCATCACAGGGGTTTAATGCCTATGACTGCAAGATATAAAGACATTTGCTGGAGTATATCAAAGAGTTTAAACCATCATCAGCTTAAGAACAGCCATTCTCGAAAAGGGAAGCCATCAACATCCTGCCTGCGCGACCTCGTTTGTTGAATCTTGCTACCACTCAGGCTACTTCCGAGTGTCCCCATCTCTTGTGGAGAGCGAATACGAAGAGAGCTCTGATTATGCGTTTTTGCATATATGCAAATGCGAAAACGCATACTGTGATGACCCCGGTGTGTACGTGTGTGTGTGTGCGTATGTATGTATGCATGTGTGTGTGTGTGTGTGTGTGCGTCTGTCCGGGTATTTTAACTCGGCACCCAAGCAAGCTCCGGCGCCAAAATTTTGCTCATAGGTTCCTCTACCAAGTGCCACCCCGTGACCGCGG